CTAAAACTTTTCACATCTAACAGCTAAAGAGGAGAGCTCGTTAATATACACATTTGTTATAAAATAGAACATTAGTGGCATAACAATTTCTTCTATGTTGAGGGTAGTTTTGAAATTATAAAAATGCTACTTAACCCACTATCATTTCTTTTTAAATGTTCCCATCTTTGGAAGAGTCAACGTGTCAGTGTGAATTAGCACACGAGAGATTTGAAGGAATAACCATCCTTCCAAATCTTCGTAATCCTTTATTTTTTCTCCATTAAAGGCAACCTAAAAACAAACGTCGCTCCCTTTTCTTTTCTTTCCAAATCATTTCAATCCAAACGAATTAATGATTGGGAGAAAATAAAGGATAACATTAATTAAAAGAAAATAAATAATAACAGTAACCTCTATTCTTGATAAATTAAGATGAAAAAGAAAGTTAGTTAGGACAGTATTATTGTTTTGAAAAGGTTGAAGGAGACAAAATAAAATAAAAAATAACAATCAAATTATTCTTACACCTTTTTTTTTTATCCTAACAATAACCTATTAAGTGGCTTGTGTTTCAAAGTCGACCTCTCTAAGAAGTTAACCAACAGAAGTATATGTCAACTTCATCATCGACAGGTTCATTAATGTTTGACTTAGTGAAAGGTCAAACTATGTAGAGGCGCTCTGAAGAGAGTATGTAGACAATATTTACATGGTGTCAGAATGCTCGGTCTCAAGAGTGATTGGTCGTGTCTATAGAATATTACACTAATGACTTTTCTAGCCCATGGATTAGAAAAGTTTATATATATGGAAAGGTTATAAAAATTCGTGAAAAGGGACGTTAGTTAGTTTCCTATCATGTAAGAATTAGGAAAAACCCAAAAACCCAATACGACACACTTTTGCTACCCAAAAACCCAATACGACACAATTTTGCTTTCTCTCCCCTTTCTCTTTGGGTCTCCGGGTCTTGGTAAGCTAAAGAAAACTCATGATATTTCACGACTATTTTTTAAATTTTTTTTTTAATTTTGAAAGAACACAAAAGGATTAAATATATGTTTGGATTAAAATATAAAAGGTCAAATGTTTTTGGAAAAAAAAGGGATTACGAGAAAGAGAATAAAAAAGGATTGTGATTTTCTCTTTTTCACACAAGAAGATGAAAAAATCATAATGTTGATTACCAAATATATATGTATATTAAATGTTTAGTTTTGAAATATTTATCAAAAACAACAATGGACTGGAGGAGTAGTTTTTCATTACCGGATTATCATGATCTTGGATCTTAAAAGAAAGTGTCTAAAGATATATTGATCTTGAAAATTTGAGTTGTCTTTCATAGATAATGATATGCAGAGAGATTTGGACTGTGTTAGGGCTTGTTGCGCAGAGAAAGAGACAGGTATGTGAAGGAAAGAGAAACAAACTGATTTAATACTTACATAATATGAAATTAACAAATTAACATCCATTTTCATGGACATTTATAACTTTCGCACATTTATGAACTTTTCAAATCTAATGGCCAAAAAGGAGAGCTTTGTTAGAGTGTTTCTCAAGTTCATTATAGTGTTTTATATGTGGTAGATAAATCTGCAGTGAAGGTGGAGTTATGAAGAGATCCTTATTCGAGGTGGAGTCTAAGCTACTGACATGTTTGAACTAGTTCAAGAACTTTGAACCAGTTCAACTGGAGTGATGAGTTAGACTTTGACTACTGCCTTAGTTGAAGTAATTCAAGGGCACTTGAACTAGTTCAAGTGAGGCAGTGAGTTACAACACTTTTAGGGCAACAAAGTTGAACTAGTTCAAGTATTGTTGGACTGGTTCAACTCCCTTTGGAAGTTCCCAGAAATAGTTTCCTAATCAGTTTTGGAAGCTAGAAGACTTGGGAAAGAAGTTGACTTGCTATTTTAGAGTTGAAGACGGATATGGTAACTCCTTGTAGGCAAGTTGATCCTTGTCCAAGAAGGAATTGGGTTTGAAGACTCTATAAATAGAGATGGGTATAAGAGGTTTAGAGAGAGAGAATAGAGAAAAGATGTAAGGGGTTTAAGGGTGAGTGTTGTGAGGAGAGGAGTGAGCTAGTATATGTAATTTTCGAGTGTATACATGTAGCCTTGTAAGAAATGATGAGTGAGTGAGTGGGGTTTTGACATGTGGTTGTATATTATCTTTCTTGATTCATAATAGTGAAATTTCTTTCTCTCCCATGGATGTAATCGTAGAGTTGGGTAAACTGTATAAAATATTGTGTTGTATGTGGATGTGTGTGATTGTTATCTCCATCTATGCTTGTGTTGATGTGATGTGATTATGCTTCCGCTGTGTGTGATGAAGAACGAATTTAACTCTCAACAACAATCGATCATTGAGTGGGTTGGAGGGAGTTAATTTATCCCCAACATGCTCATTAGTGTATACAATTGTTATAACATGGGACATGAATTGCATAACAATTTCCTCGTTGGGATTATGAAAATACTAATTAACCCACTATCATTTTTCTCTAAATCTTTTCATTTTGGAAGGATAGCACATGAGAGATTTAAAGGGATAATTAATCTTTCATATCTTTCATAATCCTTTCTTTTCTCTCCATTGAAGGCAACCCAAACACAAACTTCTCTGTCCTTTATTTTATTTTATTTCCAAAACCTTCCAAGTCTTTCAATTTAAACGAAAAAATTGAGAAGAAAAGAAATGATGACATTAATTAAGAGGGAAAAAATAAAAATAAATAACAATAACATTTATTCATGTTTGAATAAATTAAAAAGAAAAAGAAATGAATGATAGTATTATTATTTGGAAAAAGTGGAGGAGATAAAATAAAATAAACCATAATAATCAAATTACTATGGTACATTTTTGTATTTATCCTAACAAAAACCTATCAAAATGACTCTCTCTTTTTTTTTTTTTTTTTCAAAGACTACCTTTCTTATGAGTCCATTAGCAAAGCATATGACAACCTCATCATTAATAGGTTCATTGATGTTTGGCCTAATGAAAGGTCAAACTGTGTAAACGCCGTTTAAAGAGAGTATGCAAATAATATCTATATGGTGTCTGCTGTCCTAAGATCAAGTGACTGGTTGTGTTACATTTGTCTGTAGAAGATTAATTTTGTCGATTAATGCTATTAAGGGAGCGCCCCCTCTCAAGTACACTGATAACTTTTTTAGCCGGTGGATTAGGAAAGTTTATTGGTATGGGAAAGTTGTAAAAATTCGTTAAAAGGGACTTTAGTTTCCTAGCACACAAGATTTAATTTTTTTATAAAATGTTTATCCTGAAAATATGAGTGGTCTTTGACAATAATGATATGCAGAGAGATCTAGATTGTGCCTGGGCTTCTCGTGCAAAGAGAGACAGATATGCGAAGGAAAGAAACAGACAGAGGTAAAGCTTACATAATATGAAATTAACAAATTAACATCTCACATACATTTATAATTTTCCCCCATTTCTAAACTTTTCACATCTAACAGCCAAAGAGGGAAGTTGGTCAGTATATTGAATAGAGTGCCCCTGTAATAGCATTCCTCAATTTTGTATGAGGTTGGTGATACCCTCATTATTAGCCAAAACAAAAATTAGTGCTGCTTAATTAAGCCCAACAAATAAAATGAGTTAATAGATCAGTCAATGTACGCAAGTAGGTCACACATGGGATAATCTCATAAATTTCTATTTAGTAAATACAATGAAGCAACATAGATATATGACGGGACATTATTCTCTCTTCTCAGTTGGGCGAGACTAAAATGTAGCAAGTTGTATATATCATAACTTAACAATAAATAACTCTAATTGTCAGTAATGATATTTGAGAAAGCAGATGACCTTCAATTTAATTCTTCCCTCTAAAGTCATCCTGATGCATTATGTATCCGAACCAAAATTAATGTATGTCACTGCCACGTGTCTATATAAGACTGGATCCATCGAAGAGTTTAGACACACCCTTCAAGTTAAAAATGAAATATGTAACACTCACGTAATCAGCTACGGACTCATAATAGGATCTCGGGGTGGATGCTCCACTGGATTTTTTACTTTTGCATTTTATATTTCAAAATTTTAAAAATTTATGAAGATGTCCCTACTAAAATTACAATTTGCCCCCACTTAATTATTATTATTTTTTTGCATTTTATATTTTAATTTTTTTAGAATTTATGAAGATGACTCCACTAAAATTAAGACTCACTAATATAAGTTTTCTCCCACAAATTAAAAGGGCGCTCCCCCTCCCTCGCAAAATTTTCTAGATCCGTCACTGACATAATATCAATATAAACACTAATATGAAACGTTTAAATATTTGTTTACGAAGCACATTGAATTATTTTTCGTAACCCAATTAAATTGAGAATGCATCAATATTTCATCCTTATTGCATTCTCAACTTAACAATATTGTATTATTAATTTAAAAAATGATTGAATTTTCTAACCTATTTATATAGTTTAAGTGTTTATACTCCTTTGGTCTTATGGACTGCATCTAATAAAAAAAATTAATATTAAAAACACCATCATTTCAAATCCGTGAAACAAATTTGTCTGGTGATTATTAATCTATCAAATTTACATGTACAAAATTGTCAAAATAGGATGTCACAACGGTCTTGCTTCGGATGCCGACTTCTGTTTCGACGAATGGAGAGAGTGTATGAGTGGGGTCCACCTGTCTTGGTGGGACGCACTCGGGCCGTATCCCAGTTCTAATGGGGTCCACACATGCTCTTAACCAGTTGAAGTCGAAATCGGCTAGAAATACTACCAGATAGGGACGGGTTAATGTAATTAATGACGAGCAACTGAAACAGAAACGTGTCCAAAACCAGCCACAGGGCACGCAGAGCTCCTTGGACTCCATTTAAGAGAGCGATATTACTAATCTCTGTGTGTGTGTGTGTATATATATGTGTGTGTTTCTCTCTATATATTTATGTGTGTATGTTTGTCTCCCCGCCCCACTGTGATTTGACTTGAGAGAATCCCATGGCAGAGAAGCGGCTGCTGCTGGTTGTTGACGGCACAGTCGAGATGGCTCCACACTGGTCAACCATTCTCAGAGATTACATTGAAAAGATCACAAGGTACATCAACTTCACACATACATCAATTATTCTCTCTACACACTGTAAATTCACTTATCATATTCTTATTCTTCTGCATTGTGTCCCTTTTTTTTAATGGTGTCCTTTTTGCAGTTCTTGTGGTTATAATGATACATCTATGCTATATATATATATATTCTTTTTGCATATATAAGTACTTCACAGCAATCATAGCTGACCGGCTTCATCTATCTATATATAACAGTAAAATTAAACCGATGATTCTCCTGATTGAAGGAAATGGAATGTTTTTATGTGTTTACAATTTTATCCAGCTTAGCCTTGATTATCTGATAGTTTGTGGCAAGAGATCATATATATAGAACTACTATATTTAATTTATTTGAAAATTAACTCCCTCGGTGCTACTTCTGATAAATGTATGTTAGATTTATCAACACTGGTCCTAAGCTGGTAAAATTTTCCTGATTCGATCATTTAAAGATATACATACATACAATATATATATATATACACATATATATATATATATATTGAAATTATAATCATGGTGAACTAACATATTAATTGGAAGTATCCGCAGAGCAAATCTTGTTAAATATATATAGCTAATTATATGAAGAAAAAAAAAAATATATATATATATATATATATAGAGCTAATTATCCTTGTGAAAATCTAATATCACAGATGCATACCTGTGCATGTTATATTAAAAAGCTAATTAAATTTGAATCTCTATCTAATATTCAAATCGAATCTGCCTAATTAATTTCGGGATTGTACCAATCCACAAACTTCTAAAAAACTCGTGCTCAAGGTTGACGATTTTGTTGCACGTGGCTAGGATGTTACAAAGACTTGTTACGCATCCGACAAAATGGAAAAGTCGCACCATCTAACAACTTAAATTTTGAGTCTAATGGCGAGCCGCCAACCAATTACAAGTGATACGAAAAATCCAAAAATATCTAAAAGGTTGCATTTGAGTCTAATGGCAAGCGGCCAACCAATTTACAAGTGGTACGGAAAATCCAAAAATACCTAAAAGGTAGCATTTGAGTCTAATGGCAGGCGACCAACCAATTACAAGTGGTACGAAAAATCCAAAAATATCTAAAAGGACAGCGACGCTAGTGTGAATAGTGTAGTAAAATAGGCCCCATTTGGGCGGACAAATTAGTAAAATAATAAATTTACTTCTAAAAAATTGGGTTCCTAAAAGCAATATTTTGTTAATTCTATGAAATGATTTCCAGATCATTGGCTTTTGGAAAAAGACCTTCACATATGTGTAACTAATCGTGACAATTTTTTTTTTTTGAAAATATTTTTCGAGGCCTCGGGAAGCTCCTTCAAACGAGCCCTAGATATATCAAGCATAAAGTGTCCATAATTTAGAAATAATTTTTATTATTTTGGACACTTGATCAATACATTTCGAACACTTGATCAATACATTATGGATACTCGACCAACCCATCCTACATATACTTACACTCTTCATCTTATATAAAACAAGCACATAACGGTCCTTAAAATAACATTACGAATTTATATCAAAGTGTTCAATCTCTTTTTCATTACAAAGTTGACATTCCACGTGGGTTAGGCCCTTGGTTGTAGCACTTCTTGGTATCGCTCTTCTACAAACAAGCATAATAATGTAGGACACATATCTAATGGTGTATTCATGTCCCAGCTTAGATCTTATATTGACTTTGTGATGGGAAGAGTCTGTTATGTTATTTATTTTGTATAGTTCTATGATCTGCGGTACTGAATATTGCTTATTGCTCATTGTAACATAATTTGGCATCCTATTTGTATAGGTACTTTTGTGGCAATGTGTCAGCATCCCAGGTACTCTTTAATCTGCTTAGACATAATGCCTCATTTTAATAGACTCTACTTGCTTGTGTAGTTTTATCTTAAGGATTTCAGCCTCAAAATTGTTCATTTATTAAGATCACTATCACTGTTATATTTTTTCATCATTTGTTAGTTACGAAGTACTTATCTTCTCTCCAGAAACTTTAGGCAAAGTCATCTAATATTATATCATTGGTAAATATTTACAGTTCTCAAGGGAACACGGTGTTGTAATTAAGCCAGTGTTTGGTATTAGGTGAAAATAATCAAATTGAAATGAAGTAGACATAGAACATAGTAGCATTAAATTAAGGCAGTGACTGATATCTTGAAAGGTTGATCATGGATGTGATCTTGAAAATTCAAATTGCTACTGAAGCTTGCAGCATAGAATATTTATCAATGGTTAAATAAGATATTGAAAAATGTGAAATTTACAGAGTAGTAAAAAAACAGATGAGCTTGCTTTGTTCTGTAACTGATGTCCTTTTACATGCCGTTTAATGTTTGAGTTTAGCCATATTACCTTGAATCCTTGATAACAACTTAGGCATTTTGCTGGTACACATCCTTTTTTCTGATGGAGGAATTTAGTTCTCATAATTGATATTTAGCTAAGATTAGAAAATTAGAAAAACATACTTTTTTTTTCACCCAATTTAACAAATTTTGTCATCTAGAAGCAAGAGGAGTAAGTTTCCTCACCTTTTTTTTTTTTTTTTTGAGATAATAGGATAACAACATGGTACTACTTGTATCAGGAATGTTGCTTCTGGGGACATAGAATGTCTGTACACATTTTACTAATTTGCATTATACAAATGAGCGACAATGAAACACTTTGAAATTACAACCATAAAGATAGACTGTACACATCACCCAAATGCAATGACACATATTTCATTTTCTATCAAAACAATAACCACAAGCATAATAAACCAAGCATTATTTAAATATCTGATATCATAAAATGTGCAGTTGGCATGAAAGGCATTACTATGATTGACATGAAAGGCATTGCAAATTAATAAGAATTGCATGCTTGATGTTCAAATTCGATGGTACATTTCAAACTATGAAAGATCACCAGGGTTTTTTCTTTTTGATGAACGGAGCCAATGTTATTGTCCATTTTTCAAGGTCAAGGATGAGATGTTTCTAATTATTGATGATTCTATTATGCACTTTGTGATATATAAGATAAGGCAGTCTCGTCACTCGGTTGAAAATTACACAATCTTGTACTGGAAAAGTCGTGGGATTGAGGTTAATTATAGGATAATTAACTACTTAGGTAAACAATTTAACTCAAAATTTCATGATTTATCTGTCACATATGTGCTTTTGGTTTGTTTTGTTATTGGTTCCTTTCTATTGCATCCTATTTTTCTTATGGATCAACAACTCTCACAATTTAAATCTCCAAAATGCATGTTCTTTCATAGATGTACGGATATGGTCCTTTGAATTCTTAATTTCCATAGTTCTCATTTACTTCATAACCAGTCATTGAACTTTTTGATGTCCAGATGCATCTACATTTCTCCAGAGACTATTGTTGAAATTCTAAATCAGTGTTATAATTTTCTTCCTATTTTTGTTTGTCTATGTATTGCTTACAGGATAACTCTGCAACAAGACCTGCATTTGCTGTCGTTGTGTATGGTGCTCATGGACCTTATAATGGTATGCATTTGTCTAACCCTGGACCTTTTTTATTTCTTCTGGTGAATCACATTTAAGATAGTATAGAATTGCTTTGGTGTTTTTTCGTTTCCTTTCTAGAGACCGAATTTAATCTGCCAAATTATTTAATTTGTATGAATAAGAAATGCACATTATAATTTGTTCAAGGACAATTTCAGGTTGTTCTTCCTTTCTTAACTATGCTACATCAATACAGATTCTGTTCTCAATATGCTCATGTTACGAGGCTTATGCTTTGTGATAAGCTATCACTATCACCTTCAAGTTTCTATATGACTTGCATAAATTAACTCGTTAAATGATATTATTTCAACTAGGCTGTGTTTTTGTGTTCTAGTTTTATATAGATTTTTAACATGAGTATTTCAGTTGCACATTTTATCACATTGCATGTGTTTGAGATAACGAGGTTTGGAACTTTGGTTGTTTATAGAATTAAGGCTTTACAGATTCAGAGTTAATGAGAATATTTTGAGTTGTGATAAAGCATCTCTTTTACTCAGCATACTTAATTTAGCAACTGAGAGTGGACCCTGGTGCAACAGTAAGGTTGCTTCATTGCAACTTGGAAGTAGCAAGTTTGAAACAGAAAATCACCTCTCTGCCTGCAAAGGTAAGGTGTACATCTGAACCTCCCCTCAGCGGCAGAAGCCTCGCTTACTCGGCTTCCCTTCAGTTAATTTAGCAACTACTCCTCAAGTTTGGGTGGCTTCAATGTAAATAATATGCAACAACTACCTTTTTTTTTTTTTTTTCCTGAATGGTGGTGGAATTTTATAAAAGAAACCTCAGAAGAGTAGAAGAGAAAATGGGGGCATAACCCCATAACAAAAGGCCACTATAGAATACCATTTCCAGTAGATGGCCTTCACAATACAAGAGAAAACCAAAACAATGGAACAACCTAAGAAAACATCACACAAGAGATGGAAATCCTGAAGAACTACGTCTTGCCTTGTTCTCAATTACTGGAGAAGTGAAAATATTTGAATGATAAGTTCATTTATAACTTTTATTTGAGTTGGTATCATAACCATGGATTTGTATTGTGGTATTGGGTTATGTAAAGGTTGAGGTCATGGTGTAATAATGTCAGAAAATCGAGCAAGGCATAAAGGGAGTCAATTACAGATGCCATGAACTTTTTCAATCACTATAAAACCACTAAAAAGTCAATGATATGCATGTTTGATTTCAATTTGTCACGTTTTATGCTTTTTGTTTTTTCATTTTGGTATTTTGCCAATATTGTGACACTAGAAAGATGTCTTACTTATTGTATTGGGCATTATATTGATTTCTGTCAAACTAAGAACAATCATTTGTGAAGAACATTACTACTATAACAACAATAACCAAGCCTTTTTCCCAACTACTTAGGGTTGGCTGCATGAATCCTATATTTCCATTCCGCTTCATAGGATTCATGTTCATATTGGTCAGCACAAGGTTTTATGCTGTCTGTCAAGCTACCTAATGCAACCCTCCCTCTAATTTGGGCTTGGGACTGGCTGTGTAAAGGACACAGGTGGTTTTTTAATCACCATTACATTTACATAATAGACAATATTTTATTCTATAATTCTAAGAAAAAAAAAAATCAGAAAGTACCATTTTGTCTTTAATTTATTCAATTAATGAGCCTTTTTTTTTTTTTCTTTTTGGTGGTATCTAATACCTCCTTTGTCTTTTTTGTGCAGAATGCTTGGTACAAGCAAGCAGTTGGACAAGGGATATGAATAAGTTCTTACAATGGCTATCAGCTTTATCCTTTGAAGGCGGTGGCAATGATGAAGCTGGAATTGCAGAAGGGCTTTCCAATGCCTTGATGGTAATGATGTTGTCCTCAAAATCTTATTTCCTGTTTTTTAACGTAATTTCATAAAAGACGTGCTTCATTTACTGAACTGCTTAATTTTTGTCTGTTGAACTTAATGCTCCACATTTTTCAGTGAGTTTAAATATTTACTGCAAATGAATGTCCATGAGAGACTGAATTAATAAATTGATACACTTCAGTCAATTTTATATGCAATCTTTCCGAGTTTCTGATTGTGTAATTGTCAGATATGGATACATTATTGATAGGTCTTGCTTGTTTGCACTCCTTTTCCGTGTATGGTAAAGATTAATTCTTATCTGAAAGGGGATAAATATGTTCATTATATTCCATAGGATATGGCTTCATTCTTAATTATAATTGAGGCATTTTTACAGTTCTGCTATTAAATTTTGAGCCTAGCTGTCTTATGTCTGAACAAATGTAACCATACATTAGTAGTCAGTATGTATATTATTAGATCTTGTTGGTAAAGAAATTTGTAGCTACCAATAGGTTCTAGAGTCTAGACCACTTACCAAAAAGTGCAGGGAGAAACTGTATGGTGTCCATAACATGCTTAATCTGTCTACATTACGAATAGTACAGGAAAGTGAATTCTTGAGTTAAACCTCTTGCTTTGATTATGTAATACTGAATGTTTCCTAGTTATGTCCATTTAGTATACTACAAATAACTCCTTTGGTGACTGTTACAACAAACCACCGACAATGCGGTGCAATGGCATCCATGCCACCCTCTTCATATGAGGTTATAGCATTCATTCTGCTATGTGTTTGACACCCTAAAAAGGTGGTGATTGCCCTCCAAAGAGGTTTGCAGGAGGGTCGTGTGTAGGCTTGCATTCTCTCCAGATTCCACCATTGTAACACCTAAGCCAAATCATAAGACATCTCCCATACTGTAAATATCCTGAAGAAAAGAAAAACCTTCCATTCATTACAAAGCATCATATTATGTTCAATCTGTACAATAATAGATTATGCCTACTCTATCGCATCTCATTTTGATTTAGTTTGCTTACTCGGGCAGAAAAAAACTAATGAATCTTTAATGTTTGTGAGGCCATTTGGCATACTGTTATTTGCATTCGTATTCAAAGAAATCTACAATTGTCATGTTAGATTTATTTCAAATTTTAATTATGGTAGAAGCATGTACAAAACAAAAATAGTTTTTTTTCATTATTTATTTATTTATTTTGGATTGTTAAAGATTTTTGCTGTTTGCGGTTCATTCAGTTTCTTTCCCCCATTTTCCAAATTGAAATTAGGTCCCTGTTTCTCCATCAACTTCCATTTGTTATATATCTAGTGACCTTAAATATTTCTATCATGAGTGAATCAGATGTTTCAAGCAAACACAAACGAAAACCAAACTCAACAATTTGGACAAAGGCATTGCATACTTGTGGCTGCCAGCAATCCATGTCTATTTCCTACACCCGTCCAACTGCCAATAATACAAGTTACGGCCTCTGGTAAAATTACTGATGCACGAATGGAATGCGATCTGGCTGACACGGAGACAGTTGCCAGATCATTTATTCAGGTTTTGATGCAAAACTTGTAACCTTGTTTGCTTTGCTGGCTATGCTCCTTCCTCAAATGGTGATTGCTATATTTACCATCGTCCTAATGCTTACTTTTGCGTGCAGTCATTTGTATCTCTGTCAGTTCTCTCTCCAAAAAAATTTGCGCAGCTCAAAGCGATATATAGTGCGGTAAAAAATTAAAGTTGTTCATTGCTCTCGCTTAGTGTCTTTATAATTATTTCTAAATTTGTCACGTGCTCTTGCTTAGTATCTTTATTATTATTTACTAAATTTATTATGGCCTTGCTCACCTTCGATGCCACTCCCCATACCCTGCTTCATATACCTGCTTAAACTCTTACAATTGGCTCTCTAGTGATTTCAAATTTCTGTAGTTAAATGTTGCATTTAATTTACCTTTTCATATTTCAAATGCATAACAAGGTACATGAACAATGTATAATTTTCAATATTGAGAAGTATTTTATAACCTTTTGCATGGGAAAAATCTTGCATTTCTTATGCAACAGACAATACTCAACTCAACAAAATATTTTCCCAACTATTTGGGGGTCAGTAATCATACTTTGCCATTCTGCTCTATTGAAGGCTATAGTCTCCATTAAACGACACATATCATATTTCCTAACAATCTATAACTCATGTTAGTTTTGATCTCTCTCTCCCCTTAGCATTTCCCTCAATAAAAACCACTTCTCTTTTCCTAAACTAAAGTTACTGGCATCACTACATCCATATTTCTATTTCTAATTTACTAAAGTTACATTCCCCATATTCAATTTTGGTCTTACTTATCTTAAACGTAATTCTAAAGCTTTTCTCCCAACCTCTAATTCAACACTCATCTTAACTTTAGTTTCATCAATCAAAACAATATCATCAGCAAATAACACAAACCTTCTAACCTCATCCTGAATGTATTCTGTTAAATAATCCAGAACTAATAAAAAAAAGATATGGGCTTCACATCAATTGTCGATGTAAACATATACTAAGTAGAAATTCAGTCGTTTCTCACAATTGTTGTTATTATGGTCACACTGTTATATTTTCATTATAAATATCCTTTAGCACTGTCAATATATCTATTTGTAACTCCTTTTGATTCTAAATCAAGCATATTATGTCTCTATGGACTTTGTCTTTGGCTTTGTCCAAATATATAAAGATTAATCTTTCTTTCTCTCTATATAATATTTTAATTAATCTGTTTAATAAATAAATAGCTTCCATTGTTGACCTTATAGAAATAAATCCAAATTGCTTGTTCCATACTATAGTTTCACATTTTAGATGTTGTTCGGTAACTCTCTTCAAAGTTTTGTAGCATGGCTTATTGATTTGTACCCCCAATAATTTGTCCAACTTTAACCATTCACTTATACATATATATAGGTATCCAAATAGTTCTATTTCATTTATAAAAAATTCTTAAGTAATATTGAATAGTTGTGTTAGCCAACACACACTATAATTGCCTAAACACTTCCAAACCTCAATAAGATTGTCTCTGTCACATAGCGTCTCTTGTGGTCCTGTGAAAAAAATTAGCTTCTATAATCTCCCTAAGGGCTAAGGTTACCAAAATTTTCTAAACCAAAGCTTCCTACATGATTTTAATTTAGAAATTTCTCAAAATAATTTCTCCACCTTTCTCCAAATTCTGCAACATACAATATATATTAATATATCACCGCGTACAACTCAGTAGCGAGGAACGTTTAGTCGGTTAAACAAGAGAATGAATGTAAAGTAATACTGAGAAAGATCAATCCAAATATATCACAATCATTTTGTATGTTACCACCTTCCATGCATAACTCAGTGTTTTCTTCTTTATATTGCTGATCTTCGAATTATAGTACCATCCATTTACATAAAGAAACATACACTCCCTTTTGTTAATGGAAGTTGGCAAGTCACTGACAACACCATCCTGTCAATGTAGGGAAACTGTAGTCATCAAACAACAGAATCTTCTGTGAATGATATTAAGAATCCTCACCATCTTGTCCTAATCTCTGAGAATTTTGTGGAGGCTCGCGCTGCTCTCAATCAGTTGGAAAGTAAATCAACACCTGATAGTATTCTGGAGACACAAACAGAGACAGGTTCCCATCTTTCACTTCCAGAGAGTTTTAAAGGTAATCACAAATTTTTGGACTAGTTACTTTCATCTTTTTCTGCTATTTTTTTACTTTTCAAATGTGACATTATATAATTATTTGCCCATGTTTAGTCATTTAACATAATCTTGTAGGCTGTTTGTTTCATCATGTAGCATGTTCGACTGTTGCCTTTAATGAAGTCATTGTTAAAATACTTATCAAAAAAAAAATGAAGTCATTGTTAAAATAACAGTATTCTATGTTTTTCACAGCACTGGTGTAAAATGTACTGGGCAGCTAGAAAAATGGCTTTAAAATTTAAGTGGAACATCTGTGGCCTTGTGCTGGGAAATATTCTTAATTGCACATAACTCTAAAAGAAACACAACGTAAAAGCTTTAAGCCAGCTTCTTTAGCTCAGCTGCATGAATCCCATCCTGCCACTCAAATCTAGGGGCACACCATCACTGCATTGTTTGCAGCCTCAATTCAAATTAGTTTGGTTCCATATGTTGTCCTAGCAATGGCTTCAAGCTAATGAATTATTCCTTAACGATGCAATTGTTAGTCTTTGTTGTAGACGGTCCAACCATTGTAGTCAACAATCATTCAGCATGTCCTCATCAGGAGTGAATTTTATTCCTTATGTTATCATTTATTTTCCAGCTAGTCTTACCTATACTCGTTTTACAGAGATGTTTGTCATCAAGCGTCTTTTAGAATTGACTCTTTAATTTGGTAGAGGGATGAATTTACTCCGAGCTTCAAATGAACTTCCCACTTCATTCCCCTCACTTTAATTCTTTGGATGTTGTACTCTCATTCTTCCCTCCCTCCCTTATATGACAAGATCATCTGCACTTCATTATATAGCAGGAATCAATACAGAATGAAAAACTTATTTAAAAAAAAAAAAAAAAAATTTCAATACAGAATGAAATGAAAAAAAAATTGTCTCCTTGGGGAATCTCTACGCTGTGCCTATAAAAATGTGCTCTCTTTGAATGTGTGTGCGTTGTGGTAGGGGTGAGGGGGTGCACCAGGGAATGATCCATTCTCTCTCTCTCTCTACTTCTAACTCTGAAAACTTTCATCCTCACCATATATTTCTTTGTTCCTTAATTAGAAGAAATAATCTTCAATGTGATGAGGAAGTATTTTCTTGTAAGGCGAAAAAACTTATGCAATCCTTTTCACCTATATTACATGGACCCGGGTATGTGTAACATGTTTAGGTATGTGTCTTGAGTATTGGATGTACTAGATCCCAATCCCAAGGGCATGGGGACATGATAAAATATTCATATTATTTATAAAAAAATATCTTTTATTTTATCTTAAAATGTTGTTTTAATTGGTTTTTTGAAGCAAAAGGAACATAATCACACTGTTTTATGCATAAATATATAATATATTTGAATTATTGGATTGGGATATACTTGTTAGATGCTTATCCAGCCATACTTATTGGAAACATCATGTGCCCATGTCCAAGTTGTGTGTCTGAACACAGGTACTTTACAAATTTTTTGGAGTCCATGTAACAAAGTTTTTTACCGAGCTATTTCTGTACTTATGTTCCACTTCTTTTGGTTCTCCTTTACTTTATACAACTTCTATAGCTGCAACTTCGAACGTTGTTATTCTTCTTTTATTATAAGATGCTATACAACCACCTCATTCGTTTCAATATTTGGTTGAAGAATCAGAACAATCTTTTTTGTTATTTATATTCTATTCTCTAGTCTGTTGGACAATTCTGCTGATTCTTCTTTTTCAGATGAGGACATCATGATGCAGTGGAAAGTTTTCAGTGAGCCCTTCACAAGGCAGCATGATATTCTGGCTGAAAATATTCCAGCCACACCAGTCCAGCCAAAGAGAGAGAAGGAAAAAGTTGATGGTAAAAGTCTTATCAAACAAATAGGCAAAAGAAAATGTTCAGATTGTTGGGCTCTCAATAATGTTTGACAAATAATCTACTGTTAATCAATATTTGAGCTTATATTTAATCGAATGCTTACTGTCAATGGCCTTTCTCAGATGAGGAGGTCTCAATATTCCAGGAAATACTGAATGAACTAGAGATGGATGAGGAAGAAACTCCTTCAGGGAGTATTCCTACTGGGACTGCACAGCAGAAAAGAGGAAAAGAAAAAATGGAAAACGGTAAAAATTCTATACATCACCATGCAAAAGGAAGTCTGCAATTTATTGGCTCTAATCATTGGTTGACAAACCAAACAATCTACTGCTTATTTACATTTAGTTGTATAATACGCGGAATGGTTACCATTTCTTTTCCTTCCCAGATGATATTATGACGCTGTGGGAAACACTGAGTGAATCCTTGACGAGTAAACAAGAAATTCCTGCAAAAGATTTTCCTACTGCAGCAGAAAAATTGGTAAAACTTGTATCTGCTCTGATTTCTCTTTTTTTGCCTGTATATAAAGAAGCCACCCAGGGGCTGCTTACAGGGCAATTTTCATGAAATAAATAAGCTCTTGTTCAGGAACCCTATGTTGTGAAGCCCAAAGAGCTAGGAACTGCATTTCCACACCATTCAAATGATCTACACAGCACTTTCAAAAGCATGTCAAGTGTGAAGACATCATCAGACTTCTTCACTTCTCAATTGAAGTCTGGGTTTGAAGATATTAAGGTGAAACTTACTCCAGCAGGAATTGTTATGTCACAAAAAGGACATAATGGGAGTCAGGCAGCGGTAAATGCAAGCTTTTCGAGCAACCTTCTTCCTCCACTCCAAGTGAGGACCTCCTCAGTCAAAAATGGAGGAAGTTCTCCAGAACCTCAAACAATTGGTAGGAGAAGCAAGTATCCTCATCAGACCATGTGGTCGCCTACAATTAAGTCAGAGGCGACATTGATATCACAACAAAATGCAGAATTTGCAACCAATGGTTCCACTGCTTCAGCAGCTTCTACCATATCAGGAAACTTAAAGATTTCACATTTTGAAGGACTTCGAACAATGAGTAGTTTTACACAAACCATGCCATTAATAGTTAAATCAGAGTCACGAGTGAAGACCAAAAAATGTGATCAAAAGACCAGTAATGGCTCACTCATAACAGCAACTTCAGATATATATGGAAATTTAAAGACATCAAAGCTTTCAGCAAATCTTCAGGGACCCATAAGTACCGGTCAATCACTACTACTACCTAACATGAATTCAGGACATTTTACAAGGGTTCAAGTGGCACAAGATGAATACTGGTTGAAACGGAAACACATTAATGCCTTTGGTCAACCAAGTATATCATATGGGGCAGACACTTCGATTTCTATGGTGGGAAAGTCTCAACGAGTGCAGGAGGGAATGGATTCTGTTACTGTTAGCAATACTTTGAGCTGTAAAACACGGTCACAGCAGACAACAAGCACTCTGTCTGGACCACCCAAGGGATACATCGAAGCATGGGAGGTAATTTTGGTTGTGATTAAAACAAAATATACAAGATTCATGCCCACTGGTATCATATCACATTGCCACATTATTGTTATGAGATGAATATATAACTTTTCTCATCTTTCCTTCTTAATCACTTACTGTTTACAACTAGTATAAGTAGAGTTTGTTATTAAGCTAAAGCAGTATTTTCCAATTTAAGACATCTTCAGTTCAACAATTTTCATTTCCTCAATCTTTACTCACACACACAAACAAGGACACTGTTTACAGTTTGCTATTTTTGTGCATTCAGGGGGATTTAACTTCGAAGGAAAATGGACAAACTGTGTTTCTCAGTAGACTAGTGGTATGTTTTCATGCACACATTTCTCAGTAGACTACTGGCCTATGTTTTCATTCACACAATTCTAGGGATATGTTTTCTGATGTCATGAAGAATATTGGTTTCCATTATAGAGAACTATGAACCATGTTTAACCATGATTTCCACTATAGGATATAAATATTAAAGTTACCCCCTCTCTAGTAGCTTAAGCTTTTAGAGTATATGGTTGTTAATATGGTATCAGAGCCAAAGGTCTCGATTTCGAACCTCACCGTCACCCTGATAATTAAAATTGAAAAACACATGTTGAACCAAAAGATGGTCACACGTGAAGGGGCATGTAGAGGATATAAATATTATAGTTACCCTCTCTCTCTATCAGCTTAAGCTTTAAGAGTAGACGGCTGTTAACGCCATGAATTACCTATTCAAAATAGAAAAACTTGCTAGTTTTCAACCAGGTTTATACTTTTATTTTTCATATCTTTACATCTGTGACTAAGCTTGTTCGGCGTGGCCAAGAGGTGACGGCCATCAGAATCACCTTTCCTGTAATATGGAAAGTAATAAAAGTCATGTGAAGGAGTGAAGCAAGCATGAATCTAATGGTATGAGCTCATGCTTATGCGAGCAGGGGTAGCTTTTAGGATTACCCTTCATATATGTTTCTTTGTATGCATTTTTTTTTTTTTTTTTGGATATGTTTCTTTGTATTCTGATGTCAAATATAGAAGTATAGATAGCATCGTGTTCTTACTTCAGCAGTTTTGTCTATGCAAAGACATGAAAAACAAAGGCCTAGACTAATAATTCTTTTTTTTTTTTTTTTCTAGGCAGTTTGACTAAATATTCCCACACATGCTAAATGTTTTATTCCTTGTGACAGGCCTACAGGAAGATGTCGACTTCAGATAAGTAAGTTCAGGGTCTATCGCTCGTTTCTATGTTTGCTTATAAGTCCAATTCACCTTCCTTATTATAGTTCAATATTCTTGACATTAGAGTAATTTATACCAATAGTTTAATTTATTAAATTGAAATAAAAAAAGAAAAAGTACAGAATAAGAATGTTTAAAATCTATTGTATTCCAAGCTTTTATCCTGATTATTCTTTCAATCATTTAAATTCAAGATGAAAACTTATCTTTGTGTACCGTATGTGCTCCTGGGAGCATTTCATGCACGGAGATATTTCATACGTGGTATGAAGAAAGAGTTCCAGGCTATTTCATGTCTACCACTAGGGCAACTATAAGTTTCTGACAAAGAAGTGTATGCATGTTGTGGATGATCTTTATTACTATTTTCTTAGTTATCTGAATTAGATAAACTCAATTTGTTTTTTTTTTCAGGATTGCTGCCGACTGGCCACGAACACTACACGTTGATCAGCTTGTATCTCAACACCATATCAATAACATGTAATTGTACCAAGGAGCTCACCAAATTATTATTATTATTATTATTATTATTATTATTATTATTATTATTTATTTTTATTTATTATTTTTAAATTTTTTTTTTTTCTGTTCGTATGTTTCATTATTGATGATATGTTTATGTTGAGATTATAAGTAATGATTTCTTTTCTATTTTCTACCAGCCCATATGATGGCGAAGTAGAATACTTAATCATTGAGGCAATGCATCATCGCAGAAAATTTGACGAACTGAAAGAGAAGAGGCTTGTGAGTCATTCCGGCTTAGGTTTTCTCCTAGATTTACACAATCTTAATTCTTTCTTTCCATACTTGGTGAATTTCAATTTCAATTTTCTCATTTCAAATTTTGAATTCAACTAATCCTGCTTGTTTATTTTTCTAAGTTATGCAGCGATAGGTCAGATGTACACTAAATACTAATCGCTAGAAAATATATAGCTTGGATGCAAATATCCACTCAGAAATTCATGCTTATATGCAGACATAAAATTATCCCTTTTTAGTTGTTAACACAATCAATAATTTCAAGGAAAACAAAGAAATTAAATCAAGCAAACAAAATTAACATCCTCAAATGAATGATCTGGAAAGGTTTACCGCCACCAAAGGCACCAAAATCTCTATATCATTATTTATATATATACAACCATCAAATGATCGATTTTTAAGCTTTTGTAGTAGTAGTGCTTTTTCAAGAGCTACCTTTAAAGCTAGCATTGTGACAGAAGATTTTCATATTAGAATGAATTTTTGGATTAATATATTGAAATTTGTATTGGTTTCAGTGTGCATATATTAAGCTGCCACCACAAACATTGTTACTCACTGTTTCCACCAACAGTATGCGCTTCATTGGAACGCTTTATCTTGAGGTAAGACACTCTGTTACTTCATACTATTTCATACCACAAAAAAATAAAAAAAAATAAAAAAAAAAAGTTCATCAAAATTAATCTAATTGTTTACTTGGTACCCAGGGATTTCCTCTATATAAGCACCAAATATACATCCCCTAGCAGCATCCATAGAAGCAAGAAGTGCAAAATCAGCCAGAGCAGATCCTTGGAGAGTATGTGAAATATGCATAGTTTGTCTTCAGCTTTCTCAGGACATCATCTTCTGATGAAAAACTTGATCGAGTTATGGACCTTGTAGCAAAAAGAAAGTCTTTACTTTAAAAGATTATTTCCATTAATTACCTCAATTATGAGGAAGGAAATTATATTGAGAGTCAGATGCTATTGAGACAATATTATCTCTCTCAATTGAGAAGGGAACCATACGTAGAGTCAGTTGCTAGTTTATCCCCTCCGCTGCCATTGTGTTGATAATGCACTTTTGTGTCGACATGTCGCTTCTCCGTGGCGTGTTCTTATTTGACTGTGATTTCCAGTGAAGCAGTACTTACCAGCGCAGTGGTACATGTCAAAGGTTAGGTCTGTATCTAGTCGACCTCAAATGGTTTCCAGTTGGAGATGAACATAATACAACTGGGAATAGAAAGAGTGCCTTCCGGCAATCTTTTCCATTTCACTAGTTGAATATGGGCTATATATATGTATATATTGGCCCAGCTATGAATCCTCATAACTGAAAGGAGGACATCGAGCAAGACATGTCTTCTAAAACTACATATATATTTTTTAGTCCTGTAAATTAGCAAATGAACAACAGATTAATGTTGTGGATATGATTGATAAATATTTGATCCGGATTAACCCGAGGTGGGAAAGAAATTTAAATTAATAGGGGTGGCAATAAATTGGTTGGTTGGCCTAGTTAATAATATAGTTTGTTAACATGTACATGCAGAACCTGAACCCCCTTTTGTTACCAAATGCTATAATTCCTAACTCATAAAACATAAGAAATTTGAAGTTTCTTATGGAATATGGAATATGTGGTTCTTTTCTTTAATTTAGGAATGAATAAGTAATAATGGCGAGTTAAAAAAACATTCAGATATGAACATTGCACTCAGAATTCAACATGATTTTAGCTTGTCTATTAATATATATATATTATTAGTAAGAAACTCAAACACAATATTCACACACTCACTTTGCTTATTTAGAGACTCAAATATTCACCATCCACTTTGAAAGGTAGAGGAGATATCACTGAACCACAAACTGTAATATATGTGAGTGTTCAATTTTCGCACCACGTAATTAAAGATTGAGGTATATTTATTTGTACTTGTGTATGAGACTCAACACTGACCCCGTTTGAACTTCTGTGTGTACATATGACAAGATTAATAAATTTAGACACACCATATATTCGGTCCTTTCGTTACTTAATTGTAACGACCCTAGTGTTGGAAACGGGGGCATTAAAAACATAAACTTTGGATGAGATTTGGAATAGACTCCGCTAATAATTTTTTGCGGATCTCTAGATGAGCGCATTTCTCTCCGTAAGGAGATGAACGTGGTATATTTACTTTCTCAAATCCATTTCCGGGTGAATGAAAAATTAGCTCCTAAGTGTGGTGTTTTTATAAGCTTAAATGGGCATGCAAAATGTGGGGAGTGTTTGTCCCACATGAAAAAAAAATGTTGAAACAAATTGAAATTTAAATAAGTTGAGTTTAGGATTTGGGCTTGGGCTTGAGCCTAATTGTAAAGTCCAGATTATTCTTTTTTGGAATTTTTGATTGGGCCTAATTTTAGGCTGGGCTTATTTAAATGGGTTTCATAAATGGGTGGGTTTTTTGGGTGGTTGATTTTTTGAATTAAAAAAACTACTTTTTAGTTTTTCTAAAAGGTTACACCTTTTAAATTAAAAAACCATATACACCTTTTAAATTAAAAAAAAAAAAACACTTTTTAGTTTTTTTTTTTTTTTTTCAAAGGGTTACACCTTTTTCCGAACCATCATAACCCATGGTTGCACCCACTCGAAAAGGCACATTGCAACCTATTGGAATGGATGTGTCTATTGGTGAACAGACACCATGTGAACCATTACAACCTATTGGAATAGATGTGTCTAGTGGTGAACAGACACCATGTGAACCATTGCAACCTATTGCAATGGTTGTGTCCAATAATGAAGAGATACACCCCATCCGAAAAGATATTTCTATTTCTATAAATACCCCCCTTTGGATCATTTGCAAGCTGTTCATTTTTATTTTCTTCTATCTCCCTCGCTAGACTTGAACCCAACCCAAGTGGGTTCAAACCATAGGTTAAGTGGTCCGAACCACTTAGACCCTAATCCAATTTCATCGAGCCATATTAAGATTGGTCCGAACCATTTGATTCGAATTGCACACAATTCAGCATTTATATAGCATAGATGCATTTTTGAGTCAGAGAGAGTATTACACGGAGAAGGTTCGCCGTATCCACGAGTTTGTAGTGCTGCTACTGGTGGATGTAGACCGTTGTATCCTGGGAGATAGACGCCACTGAGTCCGTTAGCGCCATAGCGGGGTGAATCTGTCTTAAGGATATAGTATCCAATACTAGCCTTGGTCCAGGTTCTTTATTTATAATTATTATTTCATTAATTTATTTTGCATATTTAATTAAATATAGAGTTGTATATTTAATTAATGATTTCTTAGCATATTGTTAATTATCTCATGACATGTTAGTATAAGGCTTGTTATATCTTAAATGTCACATGAAGCATATATTTTTCCAACAATCTTAAGACAGACTCCTTCCTTGCGTAGATTTTATTATATGTTTCTATTTAAGATATAAACAAGTAGATATTATACTAATAGTTGAGATATGATAAAATAATGTTATATACATTATTATATGATAATATGTTAAATATTAATGCATTCAATATTCTGTGAAATTGAAGCATGTTATATAAGTAGATTATTGAATTATTCAATATTGATTGAATTATTTAATTTTGTAATATGATATTATGAAGTATATGACATTACCTTAAACATGTACCAACTAGAGGTGGAAAAAGGTACTTCGTTACTTTTATCAATGGTTGCACAAGATACCGTTATGTGTATTTGCTACGAAGCAAAGATGAAACCTTAGAAATGTGACATCATATGAATTATGGAAAGGTTGAAAACCTTTCTATAAATTCTTAAAAGTGTGGGGGTGTCTATTTAAGGTTGCAGATCCTACTCCTATGAAAGGTTAAAGTGGTCCTAAAATGTGACAACCTTGTAGGTGAGTGTGTCGTGGATAGGTGCAAGAGGCACTAACAAGCTACCACACTAGGCGAGCTACAAGTGCACAGTCCCCACACATAAAACCTTTGATAGGTTATGCTCATAACAGTATAGCATATCATTTCCTTGTGCATAAATCATACAATGAAAATAAAGATGAGCTTAGAGGTAGTAAAAAGGCTAGAACGTCTAAATCTTTTATTCCTGATTTTCTAGCATGTTTATTGGAGAATAAGCCACAAAGCTTTAAGGAAGCAAATTCTTCTCTTGATTATTATTATTTCTTATATTAATTATGTGATATAATTAATCATGTGATATAGTATGAAACTATATTGTTATGCAAGTTTAATATTATTTTTCTAAATGTTTACTTTCATTTGATACTATAATATTGAACTATGTAGTTGAATTACTTAATGTGTATTGTAATTCAAATTTACAACATAATTTATTTAATATGTGACATTATTGAATTTTGTATGAATGGACTAGTCCAACTATGTCAACTCTTCTGATAGTCAAAGGAAAACGATCTATACTAGTGTTTAAGACACGTATAGCTGTAAATGGGCTGAATCAGAGAAAATTTTCTAATAACTCGAAAGAATTTAATAGAAAATGTTATGGATACACTAAGCAAATACACCAAGACAAGCTAAATCAAGTTAGTTAGCTCTAATATACAATTTAGCTAAAAGCTAAAATGTTATTGAGTTACAAACTAGTTAGCTTAGGTATAAGCTAAAATGATTCATGAGGTGCACAGAACCTAAGAGGAAGATGAAAAACTGTCAGTTGGTTCTAGCTCTTAACTTGATAGTAAAAAACATGAGGGTGATGAGTAGCCATTTTAGCCATAAGCTATTTGAGTTATACATCATATCTGCTCATGTAGGAGGGAATAATACTACTTGTAAAGTAGTAGTTTTTGAAGAATATTATGCAAAACAAATTACTCTACTACCAAGATAGACCACTTAGATAAGTGTGTACTAAAGCTATGAGCTACTAGAATTGCTAGCTAAACAAACTTAACTTTAAGCTAGCGGTAATAACTGAAAAGTGGGTGCTCATCATAACTTAGTAGTGAGATATGAGAAGAGTGTGTAATAATACTTGAGAAGTTAATGCTCACTCTGTGGTGATTGTATCCAAAACTTAAATAATAAGATAATTATTTGCTTAAATGATTGAGTTATGTGATGTGTGACACATGAAAGGTTATGACATGTTAATATGACTAACTTAACATGAATAACTCAATTCATAAATACAAGAGATGTAGAAGCAAATATTAATTAAAGCCCATATCTCTAGCATTAATTCACAGTAACATCGGTGACATATTATAAAAACAAGTTAGAGATAAAGTGAATACATATGCACTAAAGACTGTTAGACATGCTTGTTGAAAAACGAATATAAAACCTTGGAAAGGTAGATGAGGTGAAATATTTAATATATGGTATTTCAAGAGTTGGGAAACCATAAGAAATATATCATATATAAAATTTCAGGATTATCTCAAAGTTGTGGGGGGATATTGTCCAAATAAGAAATACTTATAAATGTAGGGTTCTTAATCCTAAAAAATTTTGGATAGAACCAAAAATCATTTATTGTATTATAACAATAGTGCATGTTATTTCCTATGAGGAAAATATTATGGAACAACTAGAAAAGTTCTTTTTCCAGCAGAAAAGCTGAGTTATTTGTTCTAGTTGAAGAGTAAAGTGTGCAGGCTTATAAGTCCTTGAGTGGATTAAAGCTAGTACCAAGACAATGACATAAATGTGATGTATAAGTCATTGTATGCCTTAAAAAAATTAATGATATACTAATTAGTATATTCGATATGAAAGATTTAACATCTAATAACATAGTATATTCTCAATAGAGTGAGATTGAGATAATACTAGTTATGATAACAAAAGCCTAGCTAACTTTTGTAGATGTAAATCTCAAATATAAATACTAGCCAAAGTATATCATTGGTTGAGATTGCAAGGCATCTTAATAACTGTGTTTAATTGCACATTTTCAATCCAGGATCG